CCGGAGGACCGGTCGCAGCGCGTCGTCTGTCGTTAGGTGTGGTTAACTGAGTCTTCGTTCGATAGTCGGTGGAAGGCCGTGTGCAATGCGTCACTTAACGAACCAATATTCGCCTTTTTACATTCATTTTACTCAGTGTCGCACATTTTTGTATAGATATATACGACCAATGTTTTCACGTGTCACGCTGAATTGCCAAGGTACCTCCGATAGTACCCGATAGCTACCCGATAGGAAACATAGGGAAACGTTGATAGTATCTCTTATCAGTTTCGATGGACTTTAAATATATTATCAGTTTCGATAGACTTTAAATATATTGTAAAATGTTATTTTATAAAATTTGTAAAGAAAATACGAGGTGAGAGTGAATAAAATACTCGAAATTATCGGAAAATTTAAATATATCACTGTATAAATAATACAAAGTACTCTTTCATACATATGGTTCTCACAATTTTCGCCAAAAATTAAATATTGCAATTGTTTTCAAGAGGTTGTTTCAACTTCTAAACGTACAGATAAACATAAGAAACTAAATAGGGTGACCTAGTCATATGTAGTCATAGTTAGAACAAAACCTGATGATCCCTGATTGGTCTACATCCTGTCCGTCACTTAGGAATGACGTGAGTGCGAGTAAGAGAGAAGCTCTAAAACCGAAATGACGAAGCACGCTGCAGCTTCTCTCTCTCACTCACTCACTCACTCACTCACTCACTTGCTCCCTATAAATGGCGGACAATGTCCCAATTCTGATTTGAGGAACTCGAGGGGGGGACCTGCTCAGTAATTGACACCATCCAGTGAATGAACAGTTTACAGTATTCATTAAACACCAAGATATGTGGCGCACTTTATGATCTAAGTGACTAACTAAAGATAACTCACAAGTTATGTGATTATGTCAAACCTGACCTCGCCTGCTCAAATATTGGTTTGGTGCTTAAGTGTTCATTTACTGGACTGGTCCACCCTACGAGTCTTATATTCCGCTGCTGTCCGACATATCCACACAAATCAGTTGGGGACCTTTTGACGGTTCCCTCGTGAGAGCACCCTGACACCGTCTTGTTTACGAATGTCTCTGGACGCATCGCGGCACATACGCGTGTGTACGTCCGTGGTGGACACGGCACGTGAGCTCGCTCGGGAAGCGCACGTGCTTATCAGACGCGGATCTGACATGAGCGGTGAACGTGTGCCGCGGAACGCGTTATTATCGTATCATTTGGCTCACCGACGCCCACGCGACTTTAGACACATATCGATTACCCGGGATTACGCGGGAAAAGGTATCGCGCTGAAGATCTCAGGGCGTTACTGATAGCGCGCTCGCCGTGCGCATTATCCAAACGCGCGCGCGCGCACACTACCGTCGCCGTCGTCGTTGCCGTATCGGGCCAGGCCGCGTAGACGCGCATATTACATATGCAAGACGCATAAATCTCGCGAGCGAGGTAACCGCGCGGCCGATGCAACATGCGTGACTAAAGCCAGCTGCGCGAAGGAAATTCCTCGCGTGCTTTTCCGGCGAGCCGTCGTGGTGTATTGGCGGTTGAGCAGGACGAGTATAAAGGTGTCGATACCGTATCGAACACTTTATTTAATCGCCTCGAGGATTTATGGCGGTTTCGCGTTAAGTAGTACTCCGTAAGAAGAACCTGGCTGGCGGTTCGCGAGCTATTGGGGGGGGGGGAAACACGTAGAAAATAGCCGTGCCGCGATCGGTGTACGTGTATGAACGCAACACCGGCGCTCAAACACTCCTCTACATGGCGCCCGTAAAGCGCGGCGAAATCTATGCGCAGGCCTGCGTTAATTCTTAATGCTTAATCAGTGCACCTTATCGCATACCTTCGCTCTCCAGGCGCGCCCATTCACTCCGTCTTTCTCCCGCCAGTCTCTCTCCCACCCACCCACCCATCCACCCACCTTCTATCATCGCGAGGCTGGCAGGCATACCTTGTAAATAGAGGAAACGCGTTTGCCGCCTATCTGGCATCAAAGACGCCGACGCCGCGACGGTTTTATATACTTAATTTATGAACAATATACATTCGCGTCGACCTACCTACATTCTGACACTTCTCTTTTTCTCTATCTTTCTCATCGGTATTCCTTTCGCTCTCATAGGCTACTGTAGTTTTCCTTTTCTTCTCTTTCCCTCACGCTTTCCTTCTTTCTCTCTCTTTCTCTTCCCCCTCCTCTCCGCCGACAAACACCTTTAAACCAGTGAAATCCACGATAAGCGGTTCTACGTTACCCTTATCAACCGTTGCACCGGTCGACGCGCTGCCACGACAGCAATTATCTTCTCCGTCTCTCGCGCTCGCGTATTTCTCTCTACGCGTGTTCCCAATTTGATTGCCGTACCGTAATTATGGAGCTTCTGCCGCGCTTTAGTCGCTTTCGCTGTCGTTATTGCGTTAGTTCATATTGCGCCCTATATATATCAGCCGCAACGAGCGCGGAAAGCGCCGGCTACGACGACGACGATGACGACGACGGCGGCATACTTATCGAGCCTCAAGTGCCGCGCACCGCGTCTCCTTTGTGACGGTAACTCAGTTTTCATCGAGTATCGGCGCGTTAGCGGATTTTCGGTCGCAGTAATCGAGTAACGGGACGCCACGGTACTTGACAAAAATCGAGTGAGGCGGTCGATCTGTGCCTTGCGCTCGATTGACCATGGAGTCGATGGACTCGTGGATCGTTCGTGTCTAGGAATGTTGGTGATTCTATCATACGAAGATCGCATGGTGTGTGTACATACAAGGTGTCCTATACTAACCGCCAAATACGGAAATAGCCGATAGTAGAAGTCAAACCGAGACAAAAAGTTCTTTGTCACTTTTTAATACGAACAATAATTAGCGAGTTATTAATTAATTAATTGTAATGCGTGGCCCGCTCCAACTGACGGAGTACACGTGGTGCTGCGCGCCGAAAAAGTGCTATTCTGATTGGTGGGAGGAGAAGGCCCGCTAATCAGAATATCAAAGCTAATCTAAGAGGCGGGAGTTTGCATTTTTTCGGCATGCAGCGCTACTTGTGCCAATGGGAGAGCGTGCTAAACGTCAAACTTAATTAATAATTCGTTAACTATTGCTTACATCAAAAAGTAAGTAAAGGACTTTTGGCCTTGGATTTACTTCTACTACCTGCTTTCCAATATTTGGCTTTCGGTGTAGGACACTGTGTATACACAGCGGCAGCCGGACATTGTACGCACGCTGATGCGCGATGTGAAGGAATTCTCGTTCAATCGTAAACCTTACTCGTCAGTCGAATTAATTACTCTCGCGTTCTCTTTCTCTCTCCCCCCCCCCTCTCCCCCTCTCGTCGTGACTTCTCGTCGAAACGAAAATCGGCCGGAAATTAAACTTCCTGCGCAGATCAATTCCAACTGTGGCAAATTAAGGGATAGCCGTATTCCTAAGGATAATTACAACCGCCCCGTGCGAATCGCCAGGCGGAAAAAGCGGCTCGTGCTCTCTCGTGGCCGCTCGCGAGCGAGCGAGCGTGCGACGTGATTTTTCGTCGTCGCTCTCGGCGGTGTAACGAACGGCAATCGCGTTAAATCGTTACGCCGCGCGTTTCCGCGAAAGGACGTCGGCGCTGATTAACGATTCGATCAGCGACACCATTTGGTACGCGCGCGTGCTCGTCGTCGCCCGAAATGTCCATAAATTTTTATCCGCAACGCCAACACGCGCGAGAGCACGAACGTGCACTGCGAACAGACGCTCCCTTTCTCTCTCTTTCTATCCCTCTCTCTGCCTCGTGCTCTCGCTCGGCCTCTCTCCCTCGTCTCCTCTGGATTCACGCTCGAATCACGGCGAAATCAATTTCGCGGCGTTAATTAGCATCGGCCGATATAACGCGCGCTGCTGCATCGGGTTTAATTGCCGCTCGCATAATTTTTCGAGCGCGGGTAAACGGATTCCGCCGGTAGCGAGTCGCCTCGTTATAAAAATTCCCGGCGCGCCGATAACACGCCGTCCTACGCCGCTGGCTTTTATCGAGGCTAACTGGCGTTTTGGCGCGTTTTATTATATCGTGTAATGAGTCCCTGCGCCTCTTTTCTCTCCTCTCTCTCTCTCTCTCTCTCTCTGTCCTTCTCGTCGCGTTGTGCCCCGCATTTCGAAGGGACGCCCCAGCGTAAGCCTCGTGAAGACGAGGGGGGCAAAGCGGCTCCCCCGTAATGACCGCGATAAAATATGACGCGCCTCGCGCACTCTCGACTGGTTCGACCCGCAGGCCTTTATATACACGGTGCGAGTAAATAATCCGCGCGCGAGAATACCTCCGTGTCCGCGGTTTCTCGGAGCGATTTATCGATTTGATCAATTTCCCCTCGACGCGAATTTTACGATACCGCTCGCGAAGACGTCTGCAAGACGCAGAAGGACCTCTGCACGGAAACGAGTGTGTAAGCGAGGTAAGGTGTAAGCGATTGGATCTCTCGCTTGTTCATTTCGAACTCCACGAAAGTGGCACGAGTTTGAGGGAGG